TTTTTTTTTTTTTTTTTTCTCATTGTTGTTAAAGTAAATTGTATTAAAAAAATAGACAATTATGGAAACTTGATTTGAGATACAAATGGAAGATCAACTTTTATTTTCATGTTTGAGCTTTTAGATTTCTTAATTTCACCTTATTTATTAGACTGTTTTAGTTTCTACAGTACCTATAAACTCAGGAAGAGACCCATTTTTGGATTGATGTTGTTTTTACTATTTTTGTCGGATAAAATTGTCAGAGAAATGCTGAAAAGTGTATTTAACAATCATGATAGTGTTGTTGAATATCAATAACTTGCAATTTGTTTAATAAAATGGTCATATAGTAGTAATATGAAAAGCTGAAGACGTTTGTCTGCTGTCAAGTGAAAACTAAAAAGCAGTTTGAAACATCACTGAATGGATTGTTTTCTGCAAATGTTGCTCCAGAAAGGCTCAAAAAGTATGTATTTCTAGGTTATGAAATGTTTCTTGGCAGTGCCGTGGCTGGAAAAGCACCTCCCAATTGCAGTTTAAAATAAATAAAGATAAAATCTAACCCCAGGGATTTCAGAGAAGAGGACATGGCAGAATAGGGAGGATGATGTATCCTTCAAATTATTAATACAAAAACTTTAATAGAAAAGAGCTCTTCGATCTCATTCAACTTCCACTGAGGAAAACCACCCAAGCATTAGAAACTGTACATCATAAACAAGACAATGCTATATCCAATTAGGTGCATATACTAATTAGGATTCTTCAAAATATTCGTACTTTAGGTTAGAATGTAACTGAGGACTGCCCTTTGCCCTAGCTGGCTTCTTGTTTACTGAAAAGCTCTTATCTGGATTGCAAAAGGAGGTGATGAATTTTGATTGAATAAAATTGTGAGAGATCCAGTTCCCATTCACTTTACTCTTTCCTTTGAGCCCTGGATGTGGGTTGTTGTCCTCTCATCTCCTCTCATTCTTCTTTTTCTCTAATCAGTTTTGAATTATTAGTAAACCCTTATTTGGCTGGTTGCATAAAGCTTTGGATGGATTGGAAACATTTCTAGCAAATCTGTTACTTAGGAAGGATATATTCAACTGCATTTTGTTTGTACAATGACTTCTGGTAGAATGGGGAGTTCTTGCTCTCTTCCATCGTCACATGCACATCTTGCTGTGTACTTGATTGAAATGTTCGATGTGGAAGTTGTGTTGGGAGAAATACTGGGAAATGGTATCCTTTGCATCCATTATATGATACAAATAACATAAATGAATAAAAGAATATATGTTGATAATTCGAGATTATTTACACCCCAAATGTTTAATATGAAAAATTTTCCTATCAACTAAATGAATTTTTTTTTAAAATTTTGTTCCTTTATGCGTTATCTTCCTTATGCTTAGATATGCTAATATTCCCCAATTCCTGTTTCTAGAATTTGTTGGTTACATCCACATTGGCTGTCTGTACTGATCCGTATCCGCAAGCATTAGAAAAGCCGGGTGAATCTGATAAACCAAGTGAAGAACTGCAGGTGCAATCCAGCTTGGTACAAAATGGGGTTGAACCTGTGGTAGGAGATGGTGATGAAATAATGACTGAGGTAGAGGAGGCTGACATTGATGATGATATGACCATTGACATGGAAGCCTTGGAAGAAATAGTTGCATCATCAGAAACAAATTCTCCATCAACCGGAAAGTCTTGAGTTTTTTTGGTCTTTATCAGTCAGTGCAAGTCAGTCCACTAAGATCACGTTGATATATTTAAAGACAAGATTCACATATCTTTTGTGGACAATGAAGTCGGCCATAGTTTTCTGCTCACGAGTCTCCAAGTCTGTCCATGTTAGCGGCTGTGAGGGAAAGCATAGACATGTCATTTGAATTTAATACAATGTTCGAGTCTCTCTCTCTTGCTCGAGTGCTATATTTATACTCAATGTTGTAAACACCACGTAGGTCGGCATATCTAAAAACTTGTTTGAACTGTCATAAGAAATCCTGATTGGTATTATTTGGTGGAACTACTATATAGCTGCGCCCAATCGCATTTTTATGCGTGAGCCTGCCAGTGGACTCTGGAGTTGAAGAAATTATTAGGCAGTTCGTTTTTATAAATTACTCTTTCGCGGTCATCTTTTTCAAATAAAATTTGATCAACAGTTTGAGAAATTTTTAAAAGTGTCTAGGTAATAATCCTTTTGCAAATGCCTTAGCATAGATCCTTGCCTGTACAAAGTTCTTAAAGTAGATCATGTGTAAGAAGAGGAAATTAGAGGATTTTAAGACCATTGCCTTGACAGAAAAATGCAGTGCCATTATCCAAAATAAGCTTCCACCAAAGCTAAGAGATCCAGTTTTTCTATCCCTTTAGTGTAGGTGGTGATGGTTTTTCTAATGATTTGTGTGATTTAGATGCTAGTATTTCACAAATGCCCTTTTAAGTGTCTACAATACTTGGATTAAAGGAGTTGAAACCTGCAACTATCTCCTTACAGCTAGCTGACCCATCGGTGAAATATCATGTGGATATTCTTGAGAATGTGCTGATCGAAAGTAAAGAAGTTTATCATTCCAGTTGATTTTATTATGTTGGAGATGGAAAAAGACACCAAGATTCCTATCATTTTAGGCTGTGCTTTTCTAGCCACAGCTGGAGCTCTCATAGATGTTACGAATGATAGGCTGACCTCAAAGGTTAGTGAAAAAGAGGTTGAGTTTTATTTACTAGAAGCTGTTAAACACCCTTCTCTTACTAATCATGTTTTTCTAGTTGATGTTCTAGATGGTTCAACTAGTGGCAGGTTCAACAAGAAATGCAAGGGATTTATTTATTTATAAATCTAAAAGGGATAACAAATATAACCCTTAATCATTTCAAGTGCAATTTGTTACAACCGATGATTTGAACTTAATCATTTTGCAAGTCTATGATTACCGAATCTACAACATATCATTTTTCATACATGTAAAACTTGACCTAAAAGACATGGTGTGTGGTGTGTGGTGTGTGGGTGTTTGCATGGTTTTCTCTCTAAATTTCAAGTCTTTTAGTTCAGGTTTGTTGATCATCTTAGAGTGGAGGCTATCTAATTAATTATTTTGCATCCTATGAACAAGATACAGAAACATTGTTTTGAGAAAATACCAAATTGTATTGTCTCTTGGGATTTTGTTGTGGTTGAGATGGAAACTTATCTTTCTCTTGGAAACTGAGAGCAAATGTCAATTTTGCAAGAGTATCTTTAAAATCTGTCATGTTTTGAGCAAGTTAAGTATTGATTGTCTCTTGCTTTTCAATGAATACATGCAATGTTTCCTCAAGATTTCTTCTAGGAGGTGGAGCATAAGGAGGTGCATATCCATGAGAATTTTGAAAATTATGGTGTGCTTGAAATGGTGGTTGTGAAGTTTGTACATTGTTATTATCACTCTTCCAACTGAAATTTGGGTGATTTCTTCAATCAGGATTGTATGTTTGGGAGTATGAGTTGTGGTTAGCCCTTTGGAAACTGTTTAAAGCATGGGTTTGTTCATGGAGACATTCCTTAAAAGAAGGCAAGGTTGGACACTTATTGGTTGAGTGTTCATTTGTTTCACATATTTGACACACAATGTTTTCAACATATTTTAATTGACCACTTTTTTTCAATTCTAGTGCCTCGACTTTTTTAGTTAAAGATGCAAACTTGGCTTGAAGGTCATGATCTTCCCTAAAGTTGTACATACCTCCATTAGATGTATGAGGTTGAGTTTTACTCGGTGCCTCATAAGTACCCGCGATGTCCTAATTTTGAGCATTTTCAGCTAATAAGTCTAAGTACTTCATTGCTTCATCAGGATCTTTATCTTCAAAAGTTCCATTGCACATCAATTCAACAATTTGCCTATCTCTAGGTGTTAACCCCTCATAGAAATGTGAAACCAATCTCCATGTTTCAAAACCATGATGAGGGCAAGTACTAAGCAAGTCTCGATACCTATCCCAACATTCGTAAAATGTTTCTCCTGGTTTTTGAGTGAAAGTGGTGATTTGTCTTTTGAAAGAGTTTGTTCTCTGAGATGGAAAAAACTTCTTTAAAAACTGTTGTTGCATTTCATCCCAAGCACGAATGGATCCTAGTCTCAAATTTTGTAGCCATGTTTTAGCTTTATCTTTTAATGAAAAAGGAAAAAGCTTT